AGGATCCAAAAGTCTAACGCCCGAACGGGCTTGACCGGATAAACCGCTCAAGTCCAAAAAAGCCGAACGGCCTCAAGAGCCGATCGCAAAATAGGCGAAGGCCCCAAGAGCCTAACGCCCAAACGAGCTTGACCGGATAAACCGCTCAAGTCTAAAAAAGCTGAACGGCCCCAAGAGCAGATCGCAAAATAGGCGAAGGCCCTAAGAGCCTAACGCCCGAACGGGCTTGACCGGATAAACTGCCCAAGTCCAAAAAAGACGAACTGCCTCAAGAGTCAATCGCAAAATAGGTGAAGGCCCCAAGAGCCTAACGCCCGAATGGGCTTGACCAGATAAACCGCTCAAGTCCAAAAAAGCCGAACGGCCCCAAGAGCTGATCGCAAAATAGGCGAAGGCCTCAAGAGCCTAACGCCCGAACGGGCTTGACCGGATAAACTGCTCAAGTCCAAAAAAGCCAAACAGCCCCAAGAGCCGATCGCAAAATAGGTGAAGGCCCTGAGAGCATAACGCCCGAACGGGCTTGACCGGATAAATCGCTCAAGTCCAAAAAAGCCAAACGGCCCCAAGAGCCGATTACAAAATAGGCGAAGGCCCCAAGAGCTTAACGCCCGAACAGGCTTGACTGGATAAACTGCTCAAGTCCAAAAAAGCCGAACGGCCCTAAGAGCCGATCGCAAAATAGGCGAAGGCCCCAAGAGCCTAACGCCCGAACGGGTTTGACTGGATAAACCGCTCAAGTCCAACAAAGCCGAACGGCCCCAAGAGCCGATCGCAAAATAGACGAAGGCCCCAAGAGCCTAACACCCGAACGGGCTTGACCAGATAAACCGCTCTAGTCCAAAAAAGCCGAGCGGCCCTAAGAGCTGATCGCAAAATAGGCGAAGGCCTCAAGAGCCTAACACCCGAACGGGCTTGACCAGATAAACCGCTCAAGTCTAAAAAAGCCGAGCGGCCCCAAGAGCTGATCGCAAAATAGGCAAAGGCCCCAAGAGCCTAACACTCAAACGAGCTTGACCGGATAAATCGCTCAAGTCCAAAAAAGCCGAACGGCCCCAAAAGCCGATCGCAAAATAGGCGAAGGCCCCAAGAGCCTAACGCTCGAACGGGCTTGATCGGATAAACCGCTCAAGTCCAAAAAAGCCGAACGGCCCCAAGAGTCGATCGCAAAATAGGCGAAGGCCCCAAGAGCTTAACGCCCGAACGGGCTTGACCGGATAAACCGCTCAAGTCCAAAAAAGCCGAACGGCCCTAAGAACCGATCACAAAATAGGCGAAGGCCCCAAGAGCCTAACACTCGAACGGGCTTAACCAGATAAACCGCTCAAGTCCAAAAAAATCGAATGGCCCCAAGAGCCGATCACAAAATAGGCGAAGACCCCAAGAGCCTAACGCCCAAACGGGCTTGACCGGATAAACCGCTCAAGTCCAAAAAAGCCGAACGGCCCCAAGAGCCGATCGCAAAATAGGAGAAGGCCCCAAGAGCTTAATGCCCGAACGAGCTTGACAGGATAAATTGCTCAAGACCAGAAAAGCCGAATGGCCCCAAGAGTCGATCGCGAAATAGATGAAGAGCCAATCGCAAAGTAGGCGAAGAGCCAATCGCAAGATAGGTGAAAGCCCCAAGAGCTTAATGCCCGAACGAGCTTGACCGGATAAATCGCTCAAGACCAGAAAAGCCGAACGGCTCCAAGAGCCGATCGTGAAATAGGCTAAGAGCCAATCGCAAAATAGGCGAAGACCCCAAATGCCTAACGCCCGAAAACGCTAATTGCAATGTAAACAAATACATTGAATCACAAGCAATAATGTAAGCAAAAACAATCCCAAAGATTGTTAAAGAAAACCTTCATATTCTTATAAGTAGGTGAGGGTTTTTACAAAAGAGGCAGGGTATACCTAACACCTCCAAAAACAGAAAAAAGAAAAAAAGAAAAAAAAGGGGAAACTACGCAGGATCGCCATCAGGCACAGCTCCACCCTCTGTATTGAACCTCTGTGTAAATGCATCAACCAACTCTACTCTGGCTGGAATAGAGGAAGGGGTATCGAGCGACAAGGCAGGTAACCCCTGAGAACCTGAAGGATAATAGAGAGGAGGCGGAACCTCGCCAGACACCTCACCGTTCAGTAGAGCAGCAAACTTTGTCTCTCTAGGGCTAGCCGAAGGCTCGGTATACTCACTTGCAACCAAGAGCCCTTGTTCAGCATCATGCTCGTCAGCATCACCATAATCTCTCTCCTCAAAAGGATGCTGCCCCTGAGCAAAACCAAGCCTGAAGCCTTTGACATAGCGGAGATTCGCAATCTGAGAAAAATGGTTAAACATCTCCAAACCCCCATTCTTGTAGGTTTGAATAAGAGAGTTTGCCTTCCTAAGCTATAGGTCAAGCTCAGCTGCTTTGTCCTCAAGCTCCCAAGCTTTTTTGCCGAAATACTCAATTGACTTAAGCTGCTGAGCTTTTTCCCTTTTCTTCTCAGCGAGAGAAGCCTCCAAAGCACTTACACTCTTCTGAAGGGCAGCAGACTGGTTTGCATAAAAGGAGTCAGCTGAGAGCTTCTTCATAAGAACAAACATTAAGAAAGAGCTCTGCGCAAAAACAACATGGAATTAAAAAAAAAAAAAAAAAAAAAAAAAGAAGAAGAAAGAAGAGAGGGATAAGAAAGGGTTACCTCCATTATGGATTTAGGAGTAAGGGACAACAGATCATCAACGCTCATCTGTTGTTGTAAAATTTCATTTTTGGGAGGCCACATCCCACTAGCCAAACTCATCAACGTCTCCGGGTCTTCGGCTCTAGAGTCACCAATGGTGATAGGGGACCTATTAGACTTCATCATTTCGGGGAACCACTTCTCGGTAGACCCCGCGAAATCACCCCCAACGACATCAGCAGCGCTAGGAATCAAAGCACTTTTTCCTCCGAAGGCCTCAGCTATTAACTTGGGACGCTTCGAAGAAGAATCATCCTTTGCTGATGGACGCCTAGTCCCTGACTGGGCCCCTTTTTGCTTTTGAGAGGGAGAAAGCCTGCTCGCCTCGACAAGAAGGTTCTTCCTTTCTTGTAACAACTTAGCGGCCGCTTCCCTCTCCTTCTTTGTCGTACGGGGTTTTGGAGGAGGAAGTTCCATCACTGATTGAGAGAGGGTAAGAGGGGCAGGCGATAAGATAGCCTCAGAGTCGGAGGCGTCAAGATTAATGGGTTCTTCAAGATTTAAAGCAATTACTAGAGGATCTCTCGAGATCACCTCAAGAAGAGAAGAGGAGAGAAGGATCTTGGTAGAAGGAACGTTGCTCCAAACTCTTTCATGTAAATAGGCAAGACGACTATCTGCAAATTTCGAAGAGAAAAAAATCAGTTTTGTGACCTAGGAAGTCATATATACAACAAAAATGCTTTACGACACAAACAAAGCAAGAAGAATCGCCCGAATCATCAAATGTGGGAACAAATGGGGCATGAAAGCTCGATCAGACGAATAAATCCCGAACGGAAGAAAACCGCCACGCCCCTCCGACCTTAACAATTTTGTACTTCCACTCTTTGTCAGGGGTATTAAGATGAGAGAAAGGAGTTCTACCCGGTCTAGAATGAAGGTGGAACCTACCCTCTCCTCATTTCAATCTATCAAGCGAGTAGCAAAACAGAAGATCGGCAAGATTCAAGGTTAAACGTTGAACCCTGTTCAGAGCAAGAAGACAGGAGATAATACGGAAGAAATTAGGGTTAACTTGAAGAGGAGCAAAATTTAACACCGACAAAACCCGAAGGTAAAAAGGATTTAAGGGGAATTGAAAGGCGGGAAAATGCAAAGCTGAGAAGAGCATTTCGCCCTCTTCCAAACCCTCACCTATACTAAAGTTCAAATCATGGTCGTATTCCTCAAGGGTAACGTCAGAAGGAACACGATTCTTCTTTCTCAACTAAGAAATCGAAAAAGACTTCCTTTCTACAACATCTGCAGGGAGGACTGTGGGACCCTCGGCATAATCGCTCAGACTCGCCGCCACAGTTCCTGACTCAGAATCAGACATGTGAACGCTATGAGTTCGTTCACTACTTTCTTGACTCATAATATAGGAAAGATGGAACGAAAAGATGACTAACCTCGGCGGATGGAATGAGATGTTGAAGCAGCTAGCAATCGGATTCTCGCCAATACTCAGGAACAAAATCACAGATACAGATGCCCAAATCACGAAAACGCAGTATATAAGCATGAAGATATGATCAGCAGTAACAGTCGCGAAAACTTCTCCACTTCGCGAAAACGGTTACAATTCCTTATAAGAATCAAAATTCATAAAAAGGAATCGGGGGTAAAGTGTGGAGGGAAAAAAAATCACGTCAATCGCAAAACACCACGTGACGACAAAAGGCAGCCCACAACAAAGTTAAAAAAGCTAGAAGCCCATAATCAAACATAAGCCTAGCGAAGGAAGGCCTACTTAAAACAAAAGGCAGAATGAACAGGCCCAATGTTGACAAGGCCCAAACTCCATAACGCTCGCAATAATGTCGAATGCACGATCTGTACGCATAAATTACCCACGTTTGGGAATAAAAGACAGGAAATGGCTCCATGTAAATTCCTAAGCAAAAAACGCTTATAAATAGAGCCTGAACAAAGGTGAAGAGCATCGAACTCTAAATATTACTACTATCTCAAAGATTTGCTTGCTCCCTTCTTGATTTTTTCTGTGTGCTCTCCGTAATTGATCTCTTTAGGTGTTCGGGTGTAAAAAATTGCACCCACATACCCCCAGTTTGAAAAAGTTACTCTCACCTCATGTCATTAGTGTAGATCATCATAATCGATCTGCCTTCCTGTGCTCTTGTAACATTAGTTCGATATAAGATGTATAAAATGTGGATCCACCCAAAAATAGAAGAATTTACAAATTTGAAACTGTTTTAATTTAGATGGTGGGTTTTTTGTAAGAGAGGGAGGAAGGGAGAAATACCAATTATCTGTGTGCAAGAACATCTTACTGATCTAGATTTCTTCCAAACCAAATGGAATTTGTAACTTTTAACTGTGTGTACCAGACTTGGATTGGAAACAATGTAATGACCCTTGAAAATGAAACCAGATAAATTTCGATATACATAATTCTATAGCGCACCAATACTGATATGGTAGGTGCACTAACGCTCATGAAAAAAAGCTAAAAAAGAAAAAGAAAAAAGAAGCACCCTTTATGGTTCACCAAATACGTCAATTGTCCATAAGGTTAATTACTGAAACAAATCGTTTAGTATTATCGGCCTCCAGAGAGAAGTGATTCTGCAGCAGAGGATGAGTGTGAAAATGCCTTCTCCATAGAATTTGGATACAATATTGCAAAATCATCGAAGCCTTCACGGTGTGCAAAAGTTAGACCAGTGGCAGTTATACGGAGCGATGCCAACTCTGGCAGAGGAATGTCACCCTCCAAATGTTGCACAACTTGCCGCATAGTTGGCCTAACCACCGGCTCTGAATGAGAGCACTGCAAGCCAAGTTTCAACACTAACTCCACTTCCTCTGGCACATAGTTGGTACCCAATTTTGGATCAACTGCCCGAAGAATATCACCTCCACTCCAACAAGCAAACACCCAATCAACCAAAATTAGATCCTCAGTTGGTGCTCGTGGCTCTATTGGCCGTCTTCCACAAGCAACCTCAAGCAAAAATGCCCCAAAAGCATACACATCAGTGCTCGTTGTGGCCTTGCCGGTCCTAGTGTGCTCCGGGGCAAGGTACCCAAAAGTTCCAACCGCATGGGTAGTTTCAGGAAGAGTTCCATGTTCATACAATCTTGCTAGGCCAAAATCCCCCAATCTCCCATTTAATTCTCCATCCAACAGGACATTACTGGCCTTGATATCTCTGTGAACCACAACTTGTTCCCATTCTTCGTGCAGATAGAAAAGCCCTGATGCTACACCTTTGATGACTTGAAATCTCTGGCTCCAATTGAGGGTGAACTCTGGTTGGTCATACAAGAACTTGTCTAAACTTCCATTGGGCATGTAATCATACACCAAAAGCAACTCTCCTTTGCGCCTGCAATAGCCCAAGAATTGTACCAAGTTGCGATGGCGTAGCCTCCCAATACTAACTATTTCTGCAACAAAGTCCTTCATACCCTGTCTAGATTCATGAGAGACCCTCTTCACTGCTATTTCAATTTTAGAGGTAGGTAATACACCTCTGTAGACCCTTCCAAATCCTCCAGTTCCCAACAATTCTTTGTCTCGAAACCCTTTGGTGGCAATATATAGATCTTTGTATTTGAATCTATGATGCCCATAGGCAAGCTCCCAATATTCTAGTTCTTCTGCATACTTCTCCTTCCTTCTAACGTAGTAAACTGTGCCTGAGACCACTACTAACAGTAAGACTAGAAAAATCACAGGCAACCCAATTGTCAAAACTCGAGATGTTTGCTTTGGTCCAATTCGAGGAAGCTTAGGAAGTTGAGAGAGGTCGAGCCCTTGAGCCTGGCCATTCATCTTGAAGCTCCATCCTAATATATAATGGAGCGTTAGGATTGAGCCGGTGGACGATGAGAAGCCAACATACATGGTTTCATTGATTATAGGTGAAAGATCAGTGTAGTAGGACAGAAGTGGTGTATTTGGTTTCTGGACATGAAGAGGAGCTAGTGTGACATTCATGACTTTTTCCACACCATCATAGACCACCCAGATTTGCATCGGATGGCCACTAAAAAGGGACAAGTTCTGGAACGGACCATTATTAGGAGCATAATAACCTGCTGGCTTGGCTTGTTTGGAATTCAATCCATTAATGTCAATCCCAACATGGTTATTGTTAATATCATTGAACTCCGGGTTCTGAAGGGTATCGAGCTCTACAGCGACAACGCGGTTAGTGGAGTTGCCATCGTTGGTCTTATTGAAAAGACCAAGGTATGCGCTTGGAATAGCACCGGGGAGGCCTCTTGTTGGTGCAATCACGAAAGCAATTCCGTGACCACTCACGGTTGGATATTTGGGGATGATGGCAAAGACAAAAGTGGTGGAGAAGGAGAAAGTAGTAGTGCTTGATGAATTGTTGAAGTTAATTGGGTAAGGATAGAAGGCATGACCCGTTTGTTGTACGGTGTTATTGGTGAGCTCCAAGAGGCCATTGGGCGTGAACTTGGCTATGCCATCGAGGCTCAGATTGTTTGATCGGAAACCATTGTAGGTGAAACCAATGTCTTCAGTGGCTGCTAAGTCAAGACACAACAGTAGTACTATTACAAGCTTGGAGGACATGGCTAGAGTATGGAAACAACTCTTCCTGGGATTGGTCATCTCCTTTTCACAATGTAACATTTGATTCACTGTTTCACTGGTTAGTTATTCGTCTAGGCCGGAAGTAGATATTCTTTTGGGAGACAATATTTGGTGAGCTGGGTATACTAAAGTCTATCTAAATGAGAATGCATAGAACAGTATACTTATAAATTTATTTTGCTCTGCATGATTTGACTAATACAAAAGAGATGAACACGACAGGCAATGAATTGTTCGTCACTTTTAATGTGTGATCTATTGGATGTTTATTCACTTGTATGAACTCATTAAGCATAAACGTCAAGTCACGTGGTTGAAGATATATGCAGAACGGAGCCTATTGTGGATCCCCCTTTCTTTTTCATGATGCCATGCTTGACCGGGTGTTGGATGGACTTTGAAATTAAAAATACTGTAATTAATAGCCCAACTGCAAAACAATGTAACATTTGATTCACTGGTTAGTCATTTGTCCACTGGGACTGGACCAGTCTACGCCCGAAGTAGATATTGTTATGGCAGAAGATATTTGGTGAGCTGGGTATACTAAACTATATCTAAGAATGCATCTTACAATAAAATTGGTCTCATCTAAATAAGAATTAGGGTTGCAACTTAGGTAAGCTAACCTAGCCTAACCCAACCCCAACCCAAAAATTTTGAAATTTGGACTTAAAATTTGCAAATTGAGCTCATGTTCGGGTTGAGTTTTATCAAAACCTAGACATATTCGAGTTGGGTTCAGATTAAAAATTTTGAAATTTGGACTTAAAATTCGCAAATTGAGCTCATGTTCGGGTTGAGTTTTTATCAAAACCTAGACATATTCGGGTTGGGTTCGGGTTCAACCCGAACCCAACCCAAAACCCAAAAAAAAAAAAAAAATTTTTATTTTATATTTTCCTTTCTCTCCTCTCTCTTCTTTCTCTCTCTTTGCTGCTGCCCCCTTTGTCGCCGCCGTCCCTCTGCTGCCATCTTCGATCGCCCTCAGCCGCTAATCCACCACCGCCGTCCCTCCGCCTCCGCCATTGCCACTGCCGCTACAGCCATCAATTCCAAAAATTAAAACAAAACCCATACATACAAGTTAGCAGTTGCAGAGAGAGAGGGGGGGCAAGCTTGAGAGTTGAGAGACAGCGACTGAAGCTTGCGAACGGCGAACCCGAACTGGAACAACGGGCGATGGAAACTGAAAGATATGGGTTTTGATTTTTTGAACAATCTGAAATGATTTGCCGATATGGGTTTTGATTTTTTGAACAATCTGAAATGATACGCTGATATGGGTTTTGATATAGGTAATAGGTTTTGAACTTTTGATTCTTGCAAACAGATAGATAAACTGAATTATATGGGTTTTGAACTTCTAATTCTTGTAGATTTTGTAGTTTGCAGTTGCAGAGGGAGAGAGAGAGAGTTGAGAATGAGACCGTAGAGGCGATTGGGGAGGCTGAAATGATTTGCTCTAAAAGTATTTTGTTTTTTTTAATAATAATATAATCAAATATATATATATATGGGAGGCGATATCTGCACTCTACTTTTCAACATTTGCACTACAATCTTAAATGAAATGATAATTCTAACCTACCTTTACAAGTAAATAATTATTACTTTTTAAATGACACAAATGCCCTTTCATTTTTTCTCCCCTTATCTCTAATCTTTAATATTTTAAGTATCTTTTGACAACACAAATAAAACAAAATAAAATTTGAATAATTTTTTTTTAAGGGACAAAAAAAAAAAAATTTTTATTATGTTAAATAAATTGCCTCTTTTGGCCGGATAAAAAAATAAAAAGTTACCATTTAAAAAATTATCTCTCGACATGAAGAAAAAAAATCCCAAAAAAATATATTTATTAAATAAATTATCTCTATTGTCAAGATCCCCAAAAAATAATAATAATAAAAAGTACAAAAGGAAGATGATTAAAAAAAAAATTATCTATATTGAATAAATTATCTCTTTTGATAAGACCAAAAAAAATAATAATAATAAGAGGTTATTTTTATGGAATTAATTATTTCTTTTGACAGGACGCATAAAAAATTACCAAAAAAATAAAGTTACCTCTTTTGACAAAAAGTAAATTTTGTTGAATAAATATTTCTTTCGATTGTACAAAAAAAAATAAAAAAAAGTCACTATGGAATAAATTATCTTTTTTGACTGTCAAAAATAAAATTATTAGTAGAGAATAAATTATTTTCTTTGAAAGGACCTCTAGAAAAAACAAAAAGAAAGGAAAAAAAAGTAAAGAAAATAAAGAAGGTAAAATAAAAAATAAAAAAATAAAAAAATTGTATAAAGGGTTGTTATGACATTATAAATTAAGGAATTGTGTATTAATGAATTCAAGACTTTTTTGTCATTTCCTTTAAAAGAAAATGATAAATGTACTGTAATTGGAGAAAAGTGGAGTGGGAATATCATCTCTCTATATATATTATATATAAATTCCCGAAAAAAAATAAAAAATAAAAAAACTAAACCAGTCAACCCGACTCGACCCGCTCGAAAATGTTTGGGCTGGCCTAACCCAACCCAACCCAATTCAGGTTGAGGTTGGGTGGAGACTGAGCTGGGTTAGGCCATCCCAACTTGCAACCCTAATAATAATGCATCTTACAATAAAATTGGTCTCACATAATTACAAAAAAAAATTTCAACTGTCACGGCCGGGTGACTTTGTGTAATACTCCTAATTTAACAAGGATAATTCTGAAATTTATTTAATTATTTAAATTATGTTTTATTGATTTAGTTGTGAATTTGTTGATTTAATTGTGAATTATTTAAATGACTTGTTTTTGTTTGATTGTTTTATTTTAATTGTTTTTATTTAATTGTTTGTTTAATTGGGTTTTAAGTATTGGATGTAATTGTTTTCTTTAAATAGAATTAATCATTTTTACTGAAAATTAAATTAATTGTTAAATGATTTAATTTAGTATAAATGGATTTTCTATAAATAGAGTTTTATGTTAGTAAGATTAATTAGGGTTTTGGTTTTAGACGTCACGTAGGTAGCCGACATAATTAAACATTAATTAGGTTTCATATGGGCCGACTAAGGATTTAGTGTAGGTTTTAAATTAAACTAGGGTTTTGTGTAAACTTATAAACCTATAAATATATCTGTATAAGGCTGTCAAGGGTGTTTTGAACCCTAACCATGTTGTGGAGACAGAAGAAACAGAGAGAAGGAAAACCAAAGGGGCGCCGGAAAAACTTAGAAGAAAGACGCTGAGATTTCTGAACTGAGTCTCACAGACAAGTTTTATAACTAGCTCTACCTTTTTGACCTGTGTTCTTTGCATGCCTAACACAATCTCAGGATGAAATAAGGATTAAAATAAATCTGGTTCACATGCTTGCATTGTTTAATAAACATATGTTTATGAACTGTTAAATTGTTCGTTTTACAGTGTTGTTTGTTTTACTGTTTTGCTTTACTTAATTCATGTTAATGATGTCAATTGATGGATTAAGAATTTTAATAGTTCTAAAACGTAGTGGGAAATCTTAAAATTATTCTGGGTCGCAGGGCTAGATACCTGAAACAGTATGCGTTCTTGTATGGATTTTAATCCACTTAGAAGCTGTTTTGTGTAACTCTTGTTCCATATGATTTGGTTAATAAGTTATGAATCTAATTAACTTTGGAACTCCCTAAGACTTAGTTTTAATCAGTATTAAACTTAGTTGGAGGAATACAGATGCCGGATACCACTGGAACTGGAGAAGAAGACGCACAGGGGAATGAGGAATAGAGCAGGCTCCATTAAAAGATTGAGCAGGCTCAATCTAAGGATGGAGCCGGCTCTTTAGGAAGTTAGAGGCAGCTCCATCATAGAATGGAGGCGGCTCCACTTTGTGTGGAGCCGGCTCCTTCAACAGGTTTCAGTTTTTCGCCTTTTCAGTGACGGTTTTGGCTGCGGGTTTCAGAATTTGGTGTTTTCAGATGCTATTAAGAGCTATGCAGGGATGTTTCAGTAGCATCTAAGTCCTATTAGAAATTCTGGGGGTGTGATGATACATAATAAATTACAAAGAAATCGGTAGATTTAAACCGTTATAGTTCCAGGTGAACTTGTGGACTGTTTTTGGAGGCAGAGGATTTTAAGTGCATAACCCTATGAGTTGCAATTTATCTGGGAATGGTAATATTGTTAAATCATGTTTCTATAATTTAATTTAAGTTTATTAGATTACAGAATGATTATATATATTTATAAGTGACAGTAAGACACTTTTAAGGAAGTTTACATGGTTGAAATTTTGTAGACGATTCAAGTTGATTAATTTTAAATTAGCATTTGAGTTGGGAGTTTGATATGTAAATCATATATCAGTGGTATGGGATTAAGCCTATTAACTAATATAAATTCAGTTAATACTTAATATGAAACTAGTTGATGTTACCAAGAATTTGTTTATGTCAACTTGTGGGATATTGTGGAGTAATTACAAGTAAGCATGTATATACTATTATTATTATTATTATGCTTATTGTGAGTTACAGAATGGTAATATTTCTTCTCTGCATTTAAAAATTTGTCAGAGAATCAGGTACTGGATGTATTGAACAAGCATGCTAATTAAACATTCTTGTTATGTTTATGATTGGATATGTTGATATTGATATGTTATGCTATCATATATATATATATTATCAATACTGGATGGATGGTTTGTATGCACCGATATGGGACGGTGTCAAACTAGGGGGATTAGCTCAAAAATGCTAAGTCTTACCTACTCTGGATTAAGGGACGGATTAACTACAAAAGTTAAGTCCTACCTATATTTTGTGTCAGATCAATAACTAATTGAGTGGCACTTTGGTTTGGAATGAAATTTAAATATATTTTTATGATGCCACGATATGAGCCTGAGTCTCAGAGTCGTTGGTTAGGGAGCGTATATGCATTGGGATGCATGGCTGGCTATGATGGTTTGATGAGTACCCTGCTAGGACTAGGTAGTCATGCCCACCTTTGGGTGCGTTTTTGCATGGTGCCTACTAGTCAGGTTGAGACGGGCCTGTAGTCCAGTGAAAGTCCTGTAGTGTGATTATATATATATATATATATTTATCTACGGACTTTTAGCTATTGTTGGATTGGGTAGGATATACATGCGTATCGGGTCTCTGCTTGGGTAGTAGTAGTATAGAACTTGCATGTGGG